CTCCTTCCTGTGGCCTTTGTGGGAAGTGGGTAGGGTGACAGTGGCTTGGACTAGCTTGGACCCAGATGGGCAGGGCTCTCCTGGCTTCATTGCTTTTAGCATTCTGACCTTAGGCTACTTAACCTCTAAGCCTTAAATCCTCATTTGTAAAGTGGAAAAAATTATAGCTTCTTCCCAGCAAGATTCTGTCCTCGTTAAAAGAGCTAAGGGCTTGTGAAGTGCTTAGCATAACACTTGTAGCATAGTAAATCCTCCATAAATCACAGCTGCTTTATTATGAGGGTGACCGGGGCAGCGGGGAGCTCTGTTCCGCCCCCAAACAAGAGCAGGGCCTGGACAGTGTGCAGGGTCTCCCTCTTGTCACTCTCCAGGGTTATGTGGAAAATGAAAATATTGTCTTGTGTGAATTCGGGAGCCAAGTTAAAGAATCCTGCGAGTGAGCAGGGGCCATCTCCCCCTGCGAAAGCTGTTTCTATAACCCTGGGGACAGGACACTCGGTCTAACTGGATGTTGGCCAGGCTCCCCCGCACCACGCCTCCTACCCCAGGGATGACCTCAGCCTGGGTCAGCCCCTCTGTTCTGGCAGACCTCCTCCTCCGCCTGTGTGACCCTGACCGTAACCAGTGTGTCATCCCGACCAGAGTCACAGCTACATGTGGTGGGAACAGGGAACAGACACCCCAAGTTCACATTGGGACCTTTGCCCCAAGCCAAGCTTTCTTCACCCGTCAAGCGATGCCTGGCAGAATTGAAGGAAGAGCCTCTTGGGTTAGAGATCTGCAGGCCCCAGCGAGGGGTGTCTAACAGGCAGCAGCACTAGAATCCTGCTTCTCTCCCCAGCATTGAGATGGAGCCCTGCTGATTCCCAGGCCAATGCTCCGACTCAGGGGCAGAGAGGAGGCAACTTCAGGGGGCGCTGGGGTGCCCAGGGCAGGCAGCACTGAAGGGAGGGAGGTGGGAACTGTGCTGACTGGCAACCAGGCCCTCTAGAACCCATCCCAGTTCTGCTACTTACCCTCTCAGCCTCAATTTCCCCCCCTGACACATAGGCTTCAGTACTGTCACTGGATCTTTCTAAGGGTTAGCGACACTTCTGGCCGCAGGAGTGTGAGACCCTGCAGGGTGACCCCTTTGCCCATCCCTCTCTGGGTGACCTTGAGAGACAATAGAGGTCATGTGGCTATGGCTCCCTGATAACTCAGTCCCAGAGGCTGAGGCTGCGGGCTGCGCCCTATCACGGGGTAAATGGCAGGAAGCTCTGCTTTTCTGCCTCAAAATACTGCCCACTTAGGTTACCTATTTTGCCAGCTCTTATGTTTCTTGTCTCTTTAGCCTTTCCTAAATGATTCTCAAGTCACATAACACCTTTGGCAAGCCAGTGGCTCTCAGTGGGAGCAGTGTTGGCCAGCAGGGTGGGGGGCTCTCCTGTGAACCACACAGCATTTAGCCTCTCTGGTCCCTGCCCACTCAGTACCAGCAGCACCCCCGCCATCACTAGAATGGATTTCATCTCTTCACTGCTCTTTCCCTGGTGCCTGACACAATCCTCCCCCTCCCTGCCCCCCCGCCCACCAGGCGGCATTTCTAAACACTTCCAGAGTACGCCACCACCCTCAGGTGAAAACCCCTGTTCAGCCACACCCTCAGCACCCCTGATGTATGGTACTCACCCTTGTTCTAAACACCTTTCGTTATCAGAAATGGACAACTGCTGAGGACAGCCCTTTCTGAGATAGCTAAAAATGCCACCCCTGCTCCCTCCTGGACCTTGGCCTGTTGGTTAACATATTAGTTAACATATCGTGCGAAGTCACCCAGCATGGAACAGAGTGCCCCCTGTGTTGCTTGACCCTGAGAGAACAATCCTCCCTGCCCTGAATAGGTGATATGCTGACAAGGCCCAAGACGTGTTTACTTTTCTTTTGGTAGCCACCCTAGTGCTTGCTGGTTTGTGCTCAGCTGAAACTCAGGGACTTTTCCCTTCAGTCCTGTACTGGCCTTTTCTAACCCAAAGTGTAAGACATGAAAAACTTAAAAGATAGTCATATATTATTAATTCAGGCCCAGTTTTCCGGTACAGATGATTCTGAGTCTCAAATTATCATTGCAGTGTGTTAGCTATCTTACCATCCCAGCCTCGTCCCCAATTTTACATTCTTTGCAGACTGGTCCGTCTCAGTCCTCATGGTGTTGTTGGTTAAAATATTGAGGAAGCCAGGCCTTTGGCATGATAGTGGTGACCTCAGACCAGGTTGATAATGATCAATACTTCTTGTTCTTTACCTGCTTTTAAATGGACGCAAATAAATGCCAGCTCTACCCTACATCTCTCTGTCTTGTCCACATGAACGTCTTTAAATCCATGTGTTCAGCTGCCTTGCTAAATCTAGATTTACCGCATTCCACCCAGTTTCAAGGCTTTGCAACCCCTTTGGAGAGGGAGATGCACTTCGCTGAGCGTGACTTGTTCTTGTGCCGGTAACTTGACCCTGCGTCGGTGTTCAGTGCCCACCGCTTCCTCTCTGAGTGTGTCACACGTTCTGCTGTTGAGAAGCCTTCAGGAGTTCGTTCTGGTTGGCATTTCCAGAATCCACCCTTTTTGTTTGTATGAGAATAGGGGTAGCTAGTCTCCTGAAATTTTTTCCGTTCCCCTGGGATTCTATGGGAATGACCAGAGGCGGCACTTCAGGCACAGCTCTTCCTGGTCAGTGGTACAATTCCCACTTACAGGTATCCTCGTGTGCTCTTTTCATCACTGACAATTAACTGTGCTCTAGTCTTCACCCTAAGATGGATGTTTGAGTGGTTCAGTTTGCCCTGCCATTTGTTCAACATTAGGACACGGCCTCATTGTCCTGCTTTGAGTGCAGATGTCATTTTTTAGGAAACCTTTTGGATGGACCTTCATATTGGTTTTAGCTCTCATGTTGGCCTATTCATATCAAAATGTCCTGGCACATTCACATGCATTTGACCTGGCTAGCTAGACAGCCAGCTCTCTGTGGGCAGGGCCGAAGACAGCCTCTCACGGCCTGCAGAGATGCTCTGGAAATGCCGCAAAGAAGCAGGGAAGTGGTATGTGATGGCCTGTCAGACAAGCATGGCATCATGGAAAATTCTTTGAAGTGTCTGTAGATCCGTTTACATGGGCCTGCTGCTGCTGCTGCTGCAGACTGCATGTTCCTTCAGAACAACCTGCCCATTCCCTTTCCCCACCAAACTTAAGTCATGCCGCAGGTGGGTTAAAAAAAACTATGGTTTTCCTGTCTCTCTCCTGCTTCCATCCCTTGCTGTCTTCCCTCAGTGCCTAGGCTTGATTTTTTTATAGGGAATATGGCTGAGTTCCTGATATCTGGACTGGATGGGACATTCAGGGCCCTCCTTGGGGGCAGACCTGGAGCCCCAGGTTTGGAGCAGATCCTGGCCCTTGCGAGCTGCCTTCTGGGGTCCAGGCCCTGCCATTGGTAGGGTGGGGTGAATGGAGGCAGAACTGAAGGATGAGTTGCAGGAGCATCCAGCCCACGAGCCACATGTTATCCCGGATGGTTGTGAATGCGACCCAATACAAAATCATAAGTTTACTTAAAACATAATGAGATTTTTTTTAGTGATTACATGTCACAATGTATTTAATGTGTGGCCAAAGACAACTCTTCCTTTTCCAGTGTGGCCCAGAGACTCCAAAAGGTTGGACACCCCTGGTAGAGACAGGGGTCTGGTCAAGTGGAAACAGGTTTGGCAGCTATCAGTGTTCCTAGGAGATAAGACCTCCCCTGGGGCCTCTCCCTGGACTTCCCCAGACGGCCTTTCATCTGCTGCCCACAGTTGCTGGAGGCTCGGTGGGGACTGCCAGTGCAACTTTGAGTCACTCTGAAATGTATATACCTGATGATCTGTCCTGTCCCAGATGTTGAAATTGCCCAGCCCAGGGCTGAGATAAAGGACTCCAGAGAAGGTAGGGAAGGGGGAGAGGACAGAGTCCCAGGCATAGGAAAACGGAGGCCTTGGAGGACAGATCCAAGAGGACACTGAGCTTGGCTGTCACAGGCATCCAGACACTGGGGGCGAAGAGGGTATGAGGGTCCCTCCCAGTCCAACCTTACAGTAGAACATTTCTCCGTGGAGGACTGGGTATGGCTTAAGGGTCCTCCTGTGTGCCTGCGTCATCTCTGCCCTCTTCAAGAGGCAGAGCGGTCCAGCGTAGTGGTTCTCAAAGTGTGATCCCTGGACTAGTAGCTTCAGCATCACCTGGGAACTTGTTAGAAAAGCACATTCTTGGACCCCTTCCCAGACCTACTGACTGAGGCTCTGGTGGTGCCCAGCTGTCTGCATTTAACAAGCTCTCCAGGTGATCCTGGGGCATGTTAGTAAGTTTGAGAAGCACACACTCAGTTAGAAGATGGACTTGGGAGCCAGGTTGCCTAGAGCTTGACTTACCATTTTCTGACTTATATGGTGTTAACGTGATAGGCATTCTGCAAACACTGTACTTTGAATTTTGAATTTTGAGCTTTTCCTAGGCTAGTGATATGCAGTAGGATACCCTTGTGATGCTGGGCAGCAGCGAGCCACACCTCCTAGTCAGCCCTGAGATCACGAGGGTCAACAATCAACTCTCTATAGTGCACTGTGTTGCCAGTGTTTCTTGAAAACTGTGTTATGCACATGTTTAAGGTAGGCTAGGCTAAGCTGTGATGTTCAGTAGGTTAGGTGCATTAAATGCATTTTCGACGTATGAACTTATGATGGGCTTATCGGGATATAATCCCGTTGTAAGTCAAGGAGCAACTCTATTTAACAGCTGTGTGACCTTGGGCAAATCACTTAACCTCTCTGATCCTCTGTAAAGTGTTTTGTCATCTATAAAATGGAGGCAGTAATACCACTTGTTACGGTGATGATTAAATGAGAATGCTTATAAGGAGTTTAATAGAGTGTTGCCACTTAGAAATCATCGGCTAGCCTGGCCTCCTTTGATCTTCACTTTCTCTCTTTTTAGGTGGTATCTCATGCTGCAGATCAGGGCGTGGCCATCACAGGGAACCAGACCTTCAACAACTGGAACTGGCCCAATGCAATGATTTTTGCAGCCACTGTCATAACTACCATCGGTAAGTCTTCGGGGACCTTCAGGATGCCCACTCCCATGCTCTAGCTCCACAGAGCCTTATAGGAATACAGTCCTGGTCACATGGCCTTGTCAAGGTAAAACTGGGTCATTTGCAACCTGTTCTTTTGACACTTTTCCTGGGGATTTAGTTAATCCTTGGTGACTGGTCATGCCTGAGAGACTGTATTCAGGAGTCCTGACCTGGGCTCTTGAAATGACATGGCCTGATAGTCAGCCATGCAGGGGGTTGCACAGGTTGCACACTGTACACACCCAGCCTGGGCTTGCTTGCCAAGCTGGGTGTGTGTTTTGGTTATCTATGGGTGGCTGCATAAGCAGCCACTTCAGAAGTTAGTGGCTAAAACGTAACTTCTTACCTTTCACCATTCTGTGGGTTGACTGGTTTCAACTGGTCAGTTCTTGCTTGAGGCCTCTCAGGCAGTAGCCATTGTGGTGGCTGGTGCCAGAGTTGCCCGAAAGCCTCACTGGCAGACGTTCGTGGTATCTTCTTCCATCACATGTTTGGTAGTTGAGGCTGCCCATTGGCTGGGAGCTCAGCTGGGGATGAAAACACAATGGTGTGGTCATCTCACAATGTGGCAGCTGGGTTGCAGGAAGGAAAATCTCAAAAGTGAGCCTTTCAGAAGATCAAGGGGAGAAGCAGCAGTCTTCTTAGACTGAGCCTGCCCATTGTTACTGTCAAGCAAATCACTAAAGCCCAGATTCAGAGGGAGGGGAATTAGATGCCAGCTTGACTTCAGCAGCAGTGGGCCTTCAGTGAGCTCCCAATGCGATGGCAGGAACAGCCCCATCCCATTGTAATTGTTATACGTAATCATGATCATAGTGTGATCAGAGGAAATGTCAGTTCCTAAGCATTGGCATCAGACCAATAACAAGTGATATTAGAGAATGGGCCTCCCTCCAGCTGTGTGTGTGTGTGTGTGTGTGTGTGTGTGTGTGTGTGTGTGTGTGTGTGTGTGAAAGAGAGAGAGAGAAAGAGGCAGGGTCACTCTGAGTCTGGATCCATTACCCACACACACCGTTCTTAGCTTCTCTCTTCCTCTTCCTCAGGCTATGGCAACGTGGCCCCCAAGACTCCTGCTGGTCGTCTCTTCTGTGTCTTCTATGGCCTCTTTGGGGTGCCACTCTGCCTGACATGGATCAGTGCCCTGGGCAAGTTCTTCGGGGGACGAGCGAAGCGGCTGGGCCAGTTCCTCACCAAGAGAGGCGTGAGCCTGGTATGTCCCTAACCCTAGGTTCTGGGCGGAGATGAGGGGACCCAGGTAGGAGATGGAGGGTGGGAAGGACCCAAGAATTGGACAGAGGTGTTAGATGGCAAAAGCACCCTGCCCTTCGGGGTCAGGCTGGGAACATTGCCCCTTCCCTCCTTTCCTGAGTAGTAAGCCTCTTCCCGGGTGTGGTGCTCTGCTAGCCTCCTCTCTAGCCACTTTTCCAGCCCTCTGGGCATCCCTGCTGGGATCCCCTAGTCTCCACTGCTGTCTGACTTGGTCTCCCCACCACCCCATCAGCGGAAGGCACAAATTACGTGCACAGCCATCTTCATTGTGTGGGGCGTCCTGGTCCACCTGGTGATCCCACCCTTTGTGTTCATGGTGACTGAGGAGTGGGACTACATCGAGGGCCTCTACTACTCCTTCATCACCATCTCCACCATCGGCTTTGGCGACTTTGTGGCTGGTGAGTCCTGCCTCCCCCCTTGTCTCTGCCTCCTCACCTTCTCTTTCTCTGCTTGCTTCTCCAACCTCAATTCAGCTGACTTTCACTGGGACCCCTAGTGGGCATTTGTGTCCTGGGCACTTCCTCCACCTAGTGGGGTCCTACCCCACCCTGCCAGTTGCAAGAAGAAACCAAGGAACAGAGTGATCGCAGAAGACTCCTATTTCCCTTTCTTGGGATATGGCTTTCCTCTCCTCCTTTCCTCTCTCTGTGTTTAGCATCCGATCTCTCCCTAGCAGACTGAGGACGGGGAAAGACGCAGGAGCACCCACCTCCTGGACTCCGGTGTACTAGGGAGGGGGTAAGGCCTTCCACCGGCAGGGTTTGTGCCTGTTGTCCAGGGAGACCCTGGCCTGAGCCACGGCCCCTCCCTGTCACAGAGCTGCCTTCCTTCCATCATTTATAGGAGCTGAGGGAGCTGCCCAGAGGCTTGGCTCAGAGGCCCGAAACTTTGCTTTTGCCACAGGCAGCTTAAACCTAAGGGAGGCCTTCTCCCAAGCTGCTGGGGCCCAGACACTCCCTTCTACCCCTACCCTCTTTAATCCAGGCAGGAGATAAGATTCTTTGGCCCCTTTGTCTGTCCAGTCACTCGGTCACTCTAATATTTGTGCCTGTGGCCTGCACAGCATCCTGGTTCTTTATCTTCTTGACACTCCGTTTGGCCGCATTGCCCCAGTCTTTGTTCCCCCAGTGCCTGCCGCCCTGCCCCGTTGACCTCAGCCTCTGCCTCGGGGGCCTCTGATCTCCCCTCCTCCCCTCAGGGGGCAGGGGCAGGTCACTACCCTTTTGCCCCATTGTAAGTGGAGACTCGGAATGCTGAGAGGGGGTGGCTGAGTTGGGGAGGAACAGAAAAGAGGCCTGAACACTCCACCGACCTGGCAGATCCGGGCCTGCTGTTTTCGGGGATAAATTTAGACAGAGGCACAACCCTGCCGTTGTGTAGCCTTTGGAGCCCAGTGCAGGCAAAGGAGAAACCTTTGTACTGGAGAAGCACAGCAGGGTATTTAAGTGTACTTTCTCAGCTCCAGCAAGACACTAAACCTCTGCCCCAGTGTCCTTGTCTGTAAAACTGGCTTAAAAAACAAACCAGAAACCCCAAACATGCAGCACCTCCCTCCCAGAGCAGGGGAAAAATCAAATGAGTCACTCTTCATCAGTGCTGAGGAGCAGGCCCAGCTACATGAGTGGGTGTCCTGGTTGTCATCATAACCTGCTTATGCCCGAGACCCGGAGTAAGGGCGGCAGCACCTCCTGTCCATGGGGGGGGACACAGCCTCTGCCTTCGGGGAGCCTCGAGTCTGCCGAGGGAGGTGCAGTCCTGCCCTAAGGGAGCCCCGCTCCAGTCCCTTTTCCAGGTTGTTCCCAGCCTCCCAAGGGGGAGGGGGCGAAGCTCAGGATACCTAATGATACAGATCAACAGGCCAGAAGAGGAAAGATGTATGTATCTCAGATAATTCTGGAGTGTAGGAGAGCAGCCAGAACTGTGGAGGGAGACCCGGGAGCAGGTGTCAGAAGTCTGGCCATGGGAGGAACCAAGCCGAGGAGGGCAGAGACAGGAAATCAGGAGGCAGGCCAGACCTCACCGAAGGAGAATCAAGGCTGTCCAGAGTATTTCCTCTCGGGACCAGTGCCCACAGTCCTCTCGGCCCAACCACCAGCCTCATTTCTATTGAACCCATGAGTCCATCCCCTCACTGAAGGTGTCAGAGCCCTCTCAGTTCATTTCCATCCTGTTTTAACTGAACTATAACATATACACCAAAAAAAGTACACAAAACAGCTAGCTGGAGGGGTAGGTGACTAACTGAAAGGCAAACATTCATGGACTGTTCCCTGAACCTCCCTCACCCCCCGCAAACCATTCTCCTGACTTCTGGCAGCTGAGGAAACTGAGGCTCTGGCAGGTGGGGGACTGGGAAAAGCCCTTCAGAACGATGGGACAATCCAGCTTTTAGAGCAGGCCTCCTTCCTTTCTCAGTGTGTCCCCTTCTGTGTTCTGGCCCTGCGCCCATCCTCAGATAACAGCTTTGGCCTTTGAGTGTTTCTGGATCCCACTGACCCTCTCCCGACCCTCTGGGCTTCCTGTTCTGTCCTCAGGTGTGAACCCCAGTGCCAACTACCACGCCCTGTACCGCTACTTTGTGGAGCTCTGGATCTACCTGGGGCTGGCCTGGCTGTCCCTCTTTGTCAACTGGAAGGTGAGCATGTTTGTGGAGGTCCACAAAGCCATTAAGAAGCGGCGACGGCGGCGAAAAGAGTCCTTCGAGAGCTCCCCACACTCCAAAAAGGCTCTGCAGATGGCAGGGAGCACAGGGTCCAAGGATGTCAACATTTTCAGCTTTCTGTCTAAAAAGGAAGAGACCTACAACGACCTCATCAAGCAGATTGGGAAGAAGGCAATGAAGACGAGCGGGGGTGGGGAGAAGGTCCTAGGGATGGGACCTGGACCGGTAGTGGGACCGGGAACAGGACCAGGACCCGGGCCAGGGCCAGGGCCAGGGCCAGGGCCTCAGGGGGGCGGGCTGACAGACGTCCCCGCCTCCCTGGCCCCCCTGGTGTTCTACTCTAAGAACCGGGTGCCCAGCTTAGAAGAGGTGTCTCAGACACTAAGGAGCAAAGGCCATGTGTCACGACCCCCCAGTGAGGAGGCTGGGGCGGAGCCCCCCGAGGATGGTTCCCCCACCTCTGAAGTCTTTGCTAACCAGCTGGACCGAATCAGTGAGGAGGGTGAGCCGTGGGATGCCCAGGACTACCACCCACTCATCTTCCCGAACGCCAACATCACCTATGTGAATGAGGACACTGGCCTCTTGGACGAGGAGACATCCAAGTCCTCATTGGAGGACAACCTGACTGGGGAGGAGAGGCCCCAGGAAGAGGCTGAGGCTGAGGTGCCCCTGAACTTGGGCGAGCTGCCCTCGTCAGATGAGTCCACCTTCACCAGCACCGAGTCAGAGCTCTCTGTGCCTTATGAACAGCTTATGGACGAGTACAATAAGGTGAACTGCCCCAGGGGCACGTGAGGTGGGGCCGGCTCCCCACTCCACCTTTGATGGCTTCCATCACCCTTATCCTGGGGCACCCTGCCATGCCTGGGTTCCCCTGGAACTGGGAGTGGGGGGCCAGGGGCCTGCCTCGCCTTTCATCCCCTACAGCTACATGCTACCTGTCAAGCAAGGTGCGTGCTCAGGACAGGACCTCTGTTCTCTAGCTGAGCAGGCACCCTGGCAATGGGAGGCATCTGTTCTGAGCACAGCTGGTTTATTTGATGGTTCAAAGACATGTGTGGGCTGGCAGGACTGACCTTTACCCCATCATACGGTTGAGAATGCCACACGGTTCTCCTAGGTCCAGGCCTCGGCCATTTGAGCTTACTAGCACTGGTGAGCTTCTGCGTCGGGGCTCAGCACTGGGATAGGCATTTCCAGAGAGGGCGGGCCCAGCCTTTGCTGGAGTGTAGCTGTGGTGAGAGGGCTGGGCACTCAGGTCTCAGCTGGAACAGGGCCCTGCCTTGGGGCAAGGATTTAACTGCCTCCCAATCCCTTTGTTTGCCTGACAGGCCCCTACTTCAAACCTCAGTAGGGAAGGGACTGCCTGGGGGAAGGGAGTGAGGAGATAAAGGGCAGGTACTGCAGAACTCCTAAGCAAGTCCCAAGGGTGCCCCCAAAGTCCTAGACCTTGTTGATTTACCAGGACCCAGCCCAGCCCAGAGACCGGGCCGGTCTCCTGCCTCAGCCACCCTTTGGCCAACCGATGAAGGGTGCAAGCTTCCTGCCTCCCAGGAGGTGGTGGGAGAAAGCGAAGGGGAAGGCCGTTGCCACTGAGCCAGCTCACCTCGGCCCCCACCATCCCGTTTCCCTGTGCCCAGAACAAGGACTTCACCGCTCACTCCCCAGGTTGCTCTGGGCTCACAGGTGGAAATGGCCAAATATGTGAATCAGGCTCCTCCCTCTAGGGGGGGTGTGTGTGTGTGTGTGTGTGTGTGTGTGTGTGTGTGTGTGTGTGTGAGAGAGAGAGAGATTTGTGATGGGGGAGCAAAAGATAATGTGAAACTGTACACAGACTTTCCGGTGAGAGGCCAGCAGAGTTTTTAAGTTCTCCATGATTGTACACTCTGGGGCCTGTCCACTCTGCCCTGCATGTTTTGTTATTTTTTAAATAAACTGCTGTTTTTTGTTTTTGTTTTTTTAATTTACCTGGCATCTGTTGTTGGCTTTAGAGCCAAAGGTGAGAGAATAAAGAGCAGGGCCCCAAGTACTGGGACGTTCAGTGTTCACTCTCTTACCCCCCAACTCAACTGAGCCTTTCTCAGTGACCTCGGACAAGGTCATGGAAGAGTCCCTACATTGACTGGCAGGCAAGCAAAGTTGAGTGTCACCCACCACAGGCGATGGATACTGGGCAGGAGGAGGTGGATGATCGCCCTTGACCCCAACACCCTCCCTGCCTTGTAACCCCCTCTCCAATATTGTGGAGCCAAACAGAGCCAGAACCCACCAAACACACATGTGAAGACAGTGATGGGCTCATGTGTCCACACCTCCCCCCATTGTATAAACGGATATGCTCGCTGGACAGTAGGGTGAGAAGGAGAAGCATCTGTTTTTCTGTGAAATGTTTTAAAATGCTCATCTTAGTTTCCTCACTCCACCTTGCTGGGGTGTCACTGGCTGTTCTGGAATCACACACACTATGTACATACTGGCAGTGATGTCAAATGTAATTTATTTTAACATTTTTACAATAAAACATGAGATGGACTGGCCAGCCTGGTGCGTGCTGTGTGGGAGAGGGGCTGGGATAGCGTGAGGCAGTCTGGGAAGATCAGGGAAGACGGAGGACAGCCTTGGGCTCTAGCAGAGAATTGGGATGGTTCTGGAAGGGAAAAAAGAAAGTTGAGGCGATGGAGGAAGAAGGGGCTACCTAAGATGAGGTGGGCAGACAGGCCTCTTGGAGGAGGTGACAGTTAACAGCTCTGAAAGTGGTAGGGAAGGCCCATTGCAGAAGGGGTCCAAGAGCCAGGAAGGAGAGTCAAAGTGGGAGAGGTGGGAACAATAATGGCAAACTCGTGACACCAGTCTGCCCAGCAATGTTCTACGTGCTTTAACGCAGTAATATGTGAATAAACTCGTTTGATCTTGCAACAGCTCCATAAAGTGGGGATCACATCCCCATTTTATAGGCGAGGAAACAGGCCCTGGGAGGTGACTTGTGCAAGATCTCAACAGGTGGGGAGCCCACAGCCCCACTCAGGTGTGGAGCTTCTTCCGTGTCTTCTGTGGCAATCCCAGGGCTTCCTTCACAGCACCACAGGACAGTTGCAGTTTTGAGTCTGTTGGCAAAAATGAAAAGTTCTGTGATTTCAGGAGTGAACCACATTTTTCATGAGGGTACAGGTGGTTTATAAAGGACCATTGTTTAAAATACTAACCAATTCTTAATTATCTGATAACATCCCTCCCTCTGCCCAAACATCTCCACACACTCCCTCTCCCTTCTTCTCCCCACCCCTTCTCTCTCTCTCTCTCTCTCTCCCTCCCCTCTCTCTCTCTCACACACACACACACACAAGTCTAAGGTTCTCAGGTTTTGCTTTTGCTCCTTTCAGCCTCAAGGTAACAATATTGTTGCACTAAGCACTACTTTTATTTTGCACTTGACCATTTCACAAAGTCCTTCGACAAGAACAGCTCGGAGCTTTCCCTATGGCACAGGTTATTCAGCCCCATCCGCAGTTAGGGAGATGACTACCGGGGCAGTTTCGCAGAATTACGCTCAAAGGTGATAAGGTGCACAAACAGGAGGCTGGGGCGGAGGTGTGGTGCTGGCCACTGCGGCTAAGATTAGTTGGGAGCTTTCTGAGCAAAAGGTCTGGAAATGGTGAGGGAGAGCAACTGGAGCAGAGGGTGGGGCCTGGGAGGCACCGCAAGTTACTGAGGGATCGAGAGTGTAGGAGGGGTACCGTGCAGGGGGCATGGTCACGTCACGGGTCCTGTCAAGGGACAGGAGGTAGAGGTGCTTTGGAAGTCAAGGAAGAGGACGGGCAGGAAAATCCCTCTGCTGACGCCAGATTCGTAACACAGGTCAGTGACACTTACAGGCTCCTGGGGTACATTGCTCAACCCCCAGAGGTCCATGGCGCTCTGGGGAAGCGCTCCCACACCAGTGGGCCCCCTCCCAGCAGCCTCCTGGCCCCTGGCCCTCCCTGCTTCCTCCCAGAAGCCTCCCTGCCCTCAGAGGGAACTGGCACCCTGCACTCTACAGTTATCACCTGGGCTCCCCATTCATTTCTTCAGCTAATGTTCACTGAGCACCTACTATGTACCAGGCTCTATTCTGAGCACTTGGAAAACAACTGTAAAATGGGCAAAAACCCCTGCCTTCATGGAGCTTATGTTCTGGTTCCCTTTGCTCTCATTTCTGGCCATTTTTCATGGTTTGTGCGTGGTACTTATACCCTGCCCCAGGCTCCTTCACTCTTGTCTCTCTTCTATTTTGTCTTTTAATCCTCACAACAGTTATTATTATTTTTTGCAAATGCAAACTTTTAAGATGCAGCAAAACAGCTTCCCTGACTTACATTCCCATTCCTCATGCTGCCCTCCAGAAGTTCCTAATCTGCTGGGAGACACTCTCAGAAAGCCCACAGTCTGAGGGAGGAGACAGTTCTTATTCCCAGAGTCTGCAATTGGAAGAGGGGCGGAGCACAGAAATAAAGAAGCACAAATTCTATGCCCCAGCTGGGCCTCTGCCCTCCATTGTGATCCTGGGGGAGTCACTTAGCTCCATGCCAGGACTGATAAAAAGAAACCGCAATGTCCGGGTTTCACCCCCTCACTGGAAAGGGCCCGTGCAGTTTATTCTCAGCCCCAGTGCATAGAAGCTTCCCAGAGCCTGGGCCTGAGTGAGGGGGAAGGATGAGATAGGCAAGAGTTTTGCTGCTGTGGGTGGAGTCTCCTGGAATAGCTCAGCCCTGCCAATTAGCCCTCCACCCCTGATAGAACAGGTCCCCAATTTCCAAATTCATACACAACTGGTCCCGGAACCGGATGCCGGTGTTGTGGCCTGCCAGGACGTGTTTATGTAACAGTGAGTGCCTCCCCAAATCTCTGCCCCTTCTCTCCACCCCGGCCACCATCCGGGTCTCTATGGCCACTCACCTGGATCCCCACGGCACGGGGCCTGGCACCTAGGGGGGCCTCAGGTATTCACTGAATGAATGAATGAGCCCCCTTAGGTGGCCGCCCTTCCACCTGGCCACCACTGTAACCGGCAGAGTGGATCCTAAACTTGAGCCTGCTGCTTCTATGCCATTTCCTGCTGCCTGTCTCCGGGTCTCGCACACCCCGCCCCTGCCTGGCAGCCTCGGAGAGAAGAGGACGTGGCTGGCTCACCTTTGGACCCCTTCCTCTGGGCCTGGCGTGGAGGAGGGCTCAGCTGTTCAGTGTTTACTGAATGGAGGGTGAATGAACCCAAGTCCTAGACTCCTTTATTGGTAATTCAGTTCCTCTCTTCCCAGGGCAGAGGCCAATTCCAGAGGCAAGGCTCGATTCACAAGGGCAAGCCTCAGCAAAGCTAGGTGGATGATCTTAAGGGACCTTGTCCCAGGCTGTGGTGGCCTGATGAGTCACCTAAATCTGCTAAGTCACCCAAATGTGGTGGGCAGGACAGGGACACAGCACACCGTATTTCTCCACACCCCAGAAAGCACCTCTGCCCACACCCCCTTTCCTGTTTGCCCACACGGCTCTGCCCTCATCTCTCACCATCTCCAAGGCAGGCCAGTCACCACTCCCCGATCTCCTGGGGGGTGGGTCAGGGCTTCCCACCCCAGTTGCCCCCGGTCCCTATGCTTCCCTCCGGAGCACCTGTGGTCAAAGTGACCATTCACTTCGGCTCCCAGAGGCCAGTTTTACAAAGCCCTTTCACGTCCATTGCCACAGGATCACTCCACAGCCTGGGAGCCAGGCGCAACGTTTTACGGCCCCCATTAAGGGGCTTTTTCAAACAAAGAAATTGGGTGTCTTGGTTTGGCTTTTCAGGAGAGGAAGGCCTAAGACCAGAACTGGAGCATATTTGGAAGAAGTAGCAGAAGGGGAGGGGGAGATAACGATAGGAAAATAGTGACAGGCCATTCAGGGGACATTGTTGAGGCTCGTCCACTGTGGGCATCCGGACCTCCGTCCTGCGGGCAATCCCCTAAAGAACCTGTCCAATATAGGTCAGAATTTTTCCCCTGAAGGGCAGGGGACCTGCACGTACCCTCCAATTCCTGCCCTCATTGCTTAGGGATGGCCTCAGGAGCGTTAATCCCCTCCTGCCTCCCACACGCTGGATGTGACAGACTGTTGTCAGTGGCCATGACAGTACTTCCCATTCCACATTCTGGTCGGCGAAGTGACCCCGCCACTCCCTCAGCAAGAGGTGGAGTCTGTTCCCCTTGCGTGTGGGCTGGCCCTGGGACTGTTTTGGTCAACAGAATAATGTGCAAGTGACCTTCTGTGCTCTCCGAACCCACATGTCAGGAAGACCTGGCAGCCTCTGCTTTTGTGTTGTTGGGGAAGCCAGCCACATGTAAGAAATCTGAGCACCTTGAAAATCACGCTCTGAAGAACCAAACCAGTCAGGTGGAGGAGCCACGTGGAGGGAGAGTTTGCACAGCCAGGATGCCATCCTGGGACATCCAGCCTGGCTGAGGCCATGAAAACAGAGCCCGGCCATCCCCCAACTGCAGACTCATGAGCAAATACATGACTGGTGGTGTTTTAAACCTCTGCGTTTTGGGGTATTTTGTTAAACAGCAGTAGACAATGGGGACACTGGTTGGGCTCGCCCTGAGCTAAGCGAGCTTCAGCCCAGTCTCAGAGAAAGACCTGAGGTGGAAAAGCAGAGAGCCACCGAGGCCCTCTGAGCAGGCAGTCGGCAGCACGCACGGGGCTGTGCATAAGAGCTGCACTGACATCCCAAGAGGACCGAGGAATTCGAACACGGGACACAAACAGCTTTTACTACCCTGACCCTAAAACACTCTCAAGTGGCAGAGTTGAGAAGAAATGCCATCAGGTCTGCCAACTCCTTACACAAGATCAAAGTTTTTCACCTTCGAGATACCGAAGTCCCTTTTACTCCAGGGTCTCTGGCCTCTTTGCTGTTT